TGTATTTACTTCAGCATTACAGAAAAAGCCGTAATTATTGTTACGCAATTGGTTAAATTAGTTACCACTTCCGATTATTCATTCGCGCGTCTAAATGGAGATCAGGATTTTTCCGCGTCATTCAAAAGACAAACCGATATAATTTGATTTCCCTAATAGGCTATTACTTTATTCATTTGATAGCTTATAGACCACTAAAATTAATGAAACGAGGATATTTTTGAAAAAGGCAAAATTAGAAAGCTATTGAATAATGTATACAATTAAAAAGAAATACTTGGTAACGACAACACTCAATTCGCGAGTTTTGTCTTCCTTACCCTAACCTTATGATCCATCCGTACTACTCGGCCAACGTTGCTTCTTGCAAGTTACTTTCAGAGAAAAGGATCATATTGCCATATTTAAACATGCAAATAGAAGTTATGCGATCAAACGCGTAGCAGTATTTACGACTACTTCTGTAACGCTGAGACAAATGCAATACGCTCATCGTGGCACTGTCCACATTACTAAAAGTTTTATCAATATTATTTTACTTTTCTAAAAATTGACTATTTAACAACATATTTATTTACTGATAGAAGGAAAGAAACAATTGTGTGTGTCAGCTCCGCGTGACTGGAGTTTACTCCTTAAAAACGATTATCTTAAAATATCTATAATAGGCAAAGGAATAAATGAATTTATTTATTCATATATTTATTCAAATTAATTTGATAAATATATTAATTGAAACTTTTGCATCTTTCTTTTGCGTATAATATACCCACGCACGTTGCGATTACAACCCTGAATATGTAAACATGAATTATGTAACCTACTTAATAATGTACGTGTTCATCGGATTTTTTTTTAGCATCACTTCAATATATTTCTTCCATATCTTACAATATTTTATTAACTTTATTCACTTCACTTTATGTGTAAGTACAAATATCAATAGATATAAATAATAAAAATAAAACTTTAAATCATTCACACTCCACAAATTGACGTTTGATATTTAACATGTATACTGAATGCTATGGTGAGAAAGAAAGAGAAAGTAAATGTGCATTTGGGACTGAGGAGCAAGGAGATGCGCGAGTATATTGCGCAGAGGAAATATGACCCTTCACTTTTTGTTAATGTGCGCTATATATGAAACGATTCTTAAGGAGTAAACTCCAATAAACTGCAAAAAGAGAATTAGAAATTACGTTTTCCATTAAATACTTCAGTGAAGGCACCTGTATAAATTCCCTATATAGTATAAAACACGTCGTATTTTTCAAAAGATGATGCCACCCTTTGATAAAAGTTTCTCCATGTTCAGTTGTTACATTCTAATGACCTAATAAGTCAGCAAAAGGTAAATATCATTATTATTAGGCCCTCCTTTCCTTGGACTACAGCTTTTCTGATTTGTACTCGTAACTTTTAAACTTGAACGAAAAAAAGAAAAGAAATTTTGAAACATCCTAATATATATATGCTTACTTACTATTAACAGGCATTCCTTACATTTGTTGAATTCATTCTGATAAATCCTGGATTAAATAGCTGTTAACATCATTTATAAAACCGTTCCATAACTCACTGGAAGCGTGCTTAATAAACATTAAGTAAAATTTATTGTCTACTTCAGTCGATTATCCATGACATTTGTAGATTACCATTTTAAGCAAACATCTGCCACTAATCGCTAAATGTGTCTAATTACGATCTTGTAACGTTTGCTAAAATACTTTAGCATGTGTACCGACCCATAAAATGATTCACCTATTTGTATTTCAGGATTTACAAAAAAACTCGAGCGTTTCGTACAAACTTTAATATATTGTAATGTTCGTGGGTTTAACAAATTAAATTTTAAGAAGAAAACTATTTATTTACACTAATTACTATTAAACTTAAAAACACTATTAAATTATTATTGCTTCGGTAATTATTCTATTTATTTACAGTACTGTTACTATTCACTGTCCTATTTATTTAACTTCTATTACTTTCAATTTATCTCTTGATTCACCTCTGCAACGGTCAATTTATTTCTACTCCTCACTTCTACTACGGTCAATTTATTTCTACTCTTCACTTCTACAACGGTCAATTTATTTCTACTCTCCGTCGGCAATCGTCTCTTCCTTTTTATACTCCCTTGCCTCCTTTCGGGAACGTTCTACAGCAGTCCAGAGAAGTCTCGTTTTCTTTGAACGGTTTAATTGCTTTCCCGAAACGCAGGTACGACACACACGTCTACAGATACGGCGCACATGAAGAAAAGCGCCCGCGGCTAGTCGGCGAATCGATAAGCCGCTCACACACACGTATGCCCGATCGCACACAATCACGCTCGCGGTCGCTACAATACCTATCATTTCAGTGCATAAATAATTCATTTTATAGCTGATAACATTCAACTCGAAATCAAATACAGCTGTTCGTGAAGCTTCTGGAAGCTACTGGATTCCGTCGGTGTTCTTACAGAAGGAGAAGGAACAATCCTAGACCAAGTGCAAATGGGATGCTAATGAAGAAGAAATCCAACACGAATGCTGCTAATTACCAGCTGATTGAATGCGGCGTCGAACTACCGCATTTCCCTGCGTAATCCTACCAGGACCGGACTAACCTTTATCTGTATTTTCAAATACGTCTTTCTCGAAAATGGAAAACTTTCGGACCACCAAAAATTTACTTAATTTTTTTGTTTTATAGTGCTATATCGCCTGTTGCAAGCTTGTTTCATATTTCAGAATGTATTACCTGTATTGATTTTTTGGTTATGATTGTTTTGGAGCGTTGAGAGTCAAACTTTAGTGTGTAACTAAAGGCAATGTTTAAATGATTATTATATTGATTTAAACCGGCTAATTAAACATATAGGTACAGACCGCACAGTTACATATTTTATTTAAATAGAAGTAACTATAACTTCTTTGAGCATAAAGGTTACAATTTTAATCTGTAGTCCCTAATTCTTATTTGCGCCACTAACAATGCTTTTATGGTGCTAATCTTATGATAGATAAAATAGAGTAAGTACCAGTTTCGTTTTGCAATGGAGACAGATTGGTCGGTTAATGAATTAATTTGTAAATGTCACTGTCATATTCTTGCATTATAAATATTACGACCTTGTCGAAAACTTACTTTAAAAAAAGATCAGTACCTATAGTAAAAATATCTTCGTAATATGTTTTAATTACTTCTCTAATCTTCTGTGAATAAATTCCATACAAGTATTCAAGTATTAAATACAAAACTACATCTATTAAGTAAGTAATTACAGGCAAATAAAATAGACTATTGTGACCTTTCTTGCATAAGTTGGTCTGTAATACAGTTCAGGGAATAATAGCTGTGGTGTTGGCATTTTCTATTAAGACGTTTTAATTCCGTTCTTGTAAAATTGATTTGCTTTTTGCCACACTTAGTAACGTTGAACAGCAAATTTTCTCGTAAATGTATGGATTTAGACGCAATGGTCCTCCGACTATTTTGTCTTGTAGACCAAGTGCCAATTTTTTTTGTCTTTGGATAAACGACTTCGCCTTTGTTGTTGTTGATTTATGCTTTAAAAATGTTTACTTCGTATGTAATTTACAATAATGTCTATTACAATAAAGAATTATGTAAGTGCATACAGGTAGGTACTATCTGTGTTATGTGAATTATTTCATTTATGGAAAACCAAACATTCTGTTGCAATTTGCTTAAATGTGGCCCATTCCCGTGGACCCCTAGTTACATTTCATGTTCTCACAATTTTTTTTTTTTCGATAACTTGGATTTTATAGTTCGGGGTCAATCTCTTGGCCCTAGGGAATCTCTGTTGTATTGAAGTTAAACTTTTTTTGGCGCGTTGAGAGTAAAGCTTTAGTAAACAGTAGATGTGCGCGCGCAACATGCAACGGAAGTATACACAGGCGACAGAAGTTGTCAGTTAGCGAGAACGTGACGCAGTAATGGCAGCACTGCACAATGATATTATTTAAATACGTAATCGAAAACGTTGTTTAAATAAAGACATAATAAATTTTCATCATGTATACACTGTCTAAAAAAAGTAAATAGAAGTACAGCTTTTATCGCGCGTATACACTATGTCTGATCAATGCTCCGGAAAAGTTAAGGGAGAAGAAGGTACATAAAAAAGAAATAGAATGAACCATATCGCACCACCCAGTGACATGCACTAGCACTAGGGTAATGACCGTATCGAAAGCCCCAACTGCTGGATCACCTAGTCTACACGGGCGTCGCTCCGTTCCGTACGCGAACACTGGACAGGGGAGGAATGCACTTTCGAATATTTCATATGGCGACAGTAAAGATATAAGTAGTAAAAATAAGGGAGGTATGACGTAATTCGATAATGGTACGAATATGAGGAATTTTTCCTTAAAATCCTCCGTACTTATCACGCGGAATCCCTGTTTGCCTTGCAATGATTCGGGATTGTTTTGTATCAATTGTGAAACGATTTCGTCAGTACCGACTTGTCGTCTTTGATGGCTTTCACCCCCTTGGCGACTACTGTGTGATGCCGCTAATTCATTGCCATTGTACTGTACATATGTGGCCATATATTCGAAAAATGCGTGCGAAAATTGTTTTTTGCTTGATATTTTAAAGATAAACTTAGTTTTGTATTTTGTGGTAATAGCAGTAGGTAACTTTTGCTAATCACAAGGTAACTGCGGATTGCAGACTATACTAATCGTCATCACGTGCAACTGACCTGTTTGCGTACCAGCTGTTGCGAAGGTCACGAGTAGGTATGTGTGTTTCGTCACTTGACGTTTGCGATAACGACGGACTACAAGATAAGCGGCTGCCAACCTAGCGAGTGTTTTAAATATTGACGCTTCGTTAGCTAGGGTACTTTTTATGTACAGTTTTTACACCCCTACACTGTTGTGCTTTTACGCGATGCAGTCTACACACTACAGTGCCTTCAGATGTTTTGGTTTTCAAATATTCCAAATACTGACAAGACACTTTTTTTAGTGTATCAGTAGATATACGCAGAACTTCATCATGAATATTCCCAAGGTTCTTTCTCAACCACGATCACTCATCCATTCACACTGTTCCTAGATCAGACTGAAGAGGATCTTCCTCTCTCGCAAACCCTTTCCACTACCAAATCAGTGGATTGTAGGATTATCCGCGCACCAGCATTAACTGACATTAAAAATAAACGCAATAAAGTCTTTTTTGCTTCAAATTTAATTGAAATCCTAACAAATATTACAAATGCAAATGTGAGTTTGCTTGTTTGTTTGTTTATTTATTACTCAACCGATCATCATAAAACTTTGTACATACATTGTCAAGGAACATGGGGTATTTTTCATCCAGAAAAGTGATACTGCTCCCAAAGGATAGAAAAGTTAGTTTCATGTAGTCGATTTCACGCCTTAGGTACCAATCACTTTTATCCAGAAAAATAATACTGTTCTCGAGGAATAGAGAAATTAGTTTTATGTGGTCGATTTTACGCCTAAATTTAACGACATTTACGTTTATTAAGGCCATTACAAGGCCTATTTAAAAGATTAGCAAACGCTCTTAGTAGATAAATACATAGCTTCTACAAGAAATTTATCCATTTATCGTAAAATAAAAATTATGTTTTGTGGGAAAAATAAATTGCTATACTATCTAGAAAATAGGTGAATTATTCAAAACTAAAATCTTAGTTGGTTTTCGAATTTACTAGTGATTGCACCCGAAATAATTCTAGAACGTCACCCCCTAGAGTTAAGGTATGTTTGATTGATAATACGGTCATTTTAAGAAAAACATTCAAAAAAGGAAAATAGATAACATTCATCCTGAACTAACTGAATAATAATTTTAAAATATATGCAGAGCTTGTAAATTGATATTACAGGAAGGGTTTCTGTGGTTCTTGTTTGAATGGAATTGCTAGACGGTCATACGATGTACTTCAAATTAACACAAAACTAAAAATATCAACAAACACTCATCTTCTTCGTTAAACTGGGGATGCCACAGACGTATAAATTTAGTTTTATTATTATTATTTGATTTTATCTTTTTCAGCTTCCGAGATCGTAAAGGTTAACGTTAATGTCTTATTGAAATGTGTAACTCTAATAAATTAAATTATTCACGGAATATCGCATGCACATACTTATTGATGTGTACACCTTCTTAAGCAATCTATTTTTAGAATGGCAAATGTAACTGTCTGATTCGCAAAGTTACATCTGTCTGTGTTCCGTAGGTAGGTGTTCTGCTGCTCTGCAGATGGGATTTGTATTTGGATTACCTTCATGATACACACTTGTTGATGCTACCGGAATCGCCTTTGCCCTTGTCCACGAATTCTTTTGTTAGGTGCAGTGTTACGAAACATTCTGACGATGGTGGAGATGATGATGATGCGATAAAAAATTTCGTCGTAAAATTATTCGGATTTTTTTAATAGTAGGGGGTTATCTGTTGAGTATATTCGTTGTCATTAAATATATAAATACCATGTGATGCTCATTGGGGCATCGCAGTCAACACATCACTGACATTAAAACAAGATCTCAAACATCTACTATTACCTACTAACAATGAACTTCAACGTGATACTGGTAAGTCAATAAGAACAGCTGAAAGTTGTATTTGTAATTAGACAAAAATTTTAATTGGGTTATAAAATAGAGAAACGGATTTAGATTGTATTTATCTTAATAACGTTTCGTAGATATATTTTTCAATTTTTTATAGGTAGAGGGTGTGTAAATACTAACGATAAAAAGATAAACGGCTGAAAAATTANTAAACATGGCAAACAAAGATTTAAGTAAACTAAAAGTTCATTTTTAATTAGTTTTAATGAAGCTTTATTCCTGTTGTCCTGCCACTTTGCGTTCATAACAGAGAATACTCTTTCTGTAAATGCTGAAGTGACCGGAACGGACAGCAAAAGTGATACTACTTTGAACAGATTCGGGAAGTCAAGTTGTTCCGTAAATATGTCTTATCATTTTTCTGTGCAATATTATTGATATAAAAGTACTCTAAATTTCGAATAATCGCTTAAAAAATTACAATGTTGGCCTTAAATAAAGTATTTTTGCGTACTTTATGTGTCTTGTAAAGTATAACGTACGTACAGTCGAAATAGAGTACAATACTTTATAATAAAGAACGGGTGGCAACCCTAGTTATAACGCCGACACTGATTTTTGCATACCTAAGCAACGTCTAACTGCTGCACCGCTTACTATTATTAGGTTATCTCTTCGTTTTTTCTGACTTTTCCTGACTTAACAAGAGCGTGTTCAAAACGCAGCAAATGGCCCAAGTGGAAATTGAAATTGAAGATACGTCAATTCTCATGGAAAATTTAATGCGCACTTTGTCAATTTTGATTGTCCCAACTACGTCAAATATTTTCAGTAGGTACAGTATCTAGGTACTTGTTCTTGTTGAAAGTATTACTCCATGCTGATCAGCAGTAGTGTCTACTAATAAATAAACAGGGTACCCGGTAAATAGTATCCAAACAAAAACTGATCACACTACATGTTGTTGGGCTAAATACTTACTGATAAAAATCACGAGAATCAAAAAAATTTTTAAAATGTGGGACAGTTTTCGAACATTTGCTGGTGGAATTGTTTTTGCAATACATCTAATTTCTAGGCAAAGCTTCTCTGAGCAATAATAAGACCTCAAGGGACTTGATTCGAACATATGTACCTTACCTTGACTATAAATCCACTTTAAAATTGACTATGAAATAGTCTTGAAAACAAAATTAATATATTAATCTAAAAATTCATTTTTGAATTTTTTACCCACTACACGCCATCACAAATTAATGAGGGAAAAATTGTTGCTGTTGTCACCTCTCATAGTTTATAAATAAATAAACCAAATGCAATTTTAGAATGTGCTTATTTTTTTTTTGATCAAAGAGTGAAGGAAAACACAAAACTGATGCACTTTTATGCAGTTTCTGTGGCCAGAAGGTTATCTGTTCAAAGTGTCTATAGTTGGAGCGTTCAAAATTGACATCGCAATAAAACTGTCGTATTTACTTCTTCTTTCAACTTACTAATTAGACTAGTAGTCCAGTCGGTAGAGAATTTTCCCGACATAAATTTGTAACCGGACGGGAGTTGTTTCATGTTGTAGACGGGGAAAAGTTGAACATCCCTGTATATTTTTAAACTTCGAAAAAGTGTGCGTTAACGAATGGGGGAGGTCCAAAGTTGCCAAAAACCAGGTTTTTAGATTTAGAAATTAAGAAATTAAAAACCTTCAATTTGAGCCTCGGTACGATCAATTGTGTCAATTGGTTATTACACAAATCCCAAAAAATCATCAAAAATTGTCATTTCTTGTATATTGATTGTTTATTGCAAAAACGACGTTTTTAGTGATTTTATCACATTGAAATGAAGGTTTTTAAATTTGGAATCGAACTAGTTTCTGTGTGCGTAAATCGGTTAATTTGTTAGTGAGATATTGTTAATTGTTTATCCCAACAGACATGAATAGTTATTGGCGTAACTTTTTTTTGAGCAAACATTTTCAGTTGCACGTAGGTTCAATCTCTTTGCAAAGGTGGAGTTAGAGGCATATCAAAAAATTCATTTTTATCCCCTTATTTATTGCTGTAAATAAGGGGGTCATTTTTCATTATAAACAATTAGAGCTGGAGCGACTCCTACGTAACGTACGAATTTTTAACCGAGGAATATGAAAGGGTGACTTCGAAACAAACATTAAAAGAGCAAACCGAATCTCCTACGACCAGTAGGAATCGAGTTAACACTTTTTCTTTTAACTATTAAATAATGAATTTGGGGGCATTTGATAGAGAAATCTTTATATTTTGTAGTATCGTTTTTAAAAAAGTGGTAATTTTTTTGTTATTGCTAAAAGACCTTTCTAAAGTGATCAGTAATTCCTGACGACGGGACGTAGTTAGCGGTGAGAATAAAACATTGCAGGCTGGCGCG